AAAGTTTCTTAATGTTTCTTTTAGAAAGTTTCCTTTTAGAAAGTTTCCTAATGTTTTTAGAAAGTCTCTTAATGTTTTTTAGAAAGTTCTTTTTTAGAAAGTTTCCTTAAGAAGGACTCTTGTAATTCCTATTTAAGGAGCAGATGTTATTCAATAAAGCCATCCAGAATTTCAGTCAAGAAAGAGCAGAGGAGAGTTGGTGATCTCTTTAACAAATCACCATAAAGGCGCTAAAGATAGGTTCCTCGAAAAAAGGGAGAAACAAGGGAAAACAAGAAGTTTTCCTCGTTAACCGACCTGTGACGAGATCCTATTCGCGGGGCCCTTAACAGGTTGCATGGGTATTATAATGAGGAATAAGTTCTGATGTGTTGCAGACCCTAGTACTCTATATGTGAGGTGTATTCGGGTGGTTTATGGTGCTGAAAGTGGATGACAGCAGTGGTGTTGTTGAAGGTGGTGACAATAGGTGCTCTTGCAATAATCAGCTGTTGGTGTGTAGTGACGTGACTAGTTAGTCAAGTGAAGTGATAAGACTAGTGATAGATTCTTTTTGGCAGCCATGGGAGACAATAATGAATACAAGTCTAGTGTAATGGTTCCCCTTGATTATCTGAACATGCAGATGACATCTATCAAACTAAAKGGTGAGAATATGTGCCTTGGGCTAAATCTGTTGAAGTTTTTCTAAAAGTTAAGAAGAAAGTGAAGCATGTGAAGGAAGATAAACCCTCAACTGATTCTCAGGAGTATGATGAGTGGGAGCAGGAAGATGCACAAATTATGACATGGTTATGGAATAGTACAGAATCCAAGATTAGTGTGAACTTTATGTTCTTAGATATAGCCAAAGAGGTATGGGATCATGCAAAGAAGCTTTACTCTGGACAAGACAATACTACTAGGGTATACCAACTTTACCAAGAGTATTTTAATCTGCAATAGGGTAATCAAAGTCTCGAGGAATATTATGCTAGTATGAGTTGAATGTATATCACCCCCTTACATCTGATGTCAAATTTCAGCAACAACAAAGAGAGTAGCTGGATGTAACCAGAATTTTAGTAGGTTTGAAGTCTGAGTATGAACCAGTGAGAGCACAGATACTAGGTGGGTCTACATAGGTCTGCATATCAAATAGGGTTGAAGTCCGATGGGCCTACGGAGAGCTCCGCTATATCAAATAGGTCTGAATTTGCAGTAACACAGGGGGGAGGTCGTGGAGGTAGAGTAGGAGTTTGAGAAGTTCAGCCCGTTCGTAGTGGTGGTGGTGGTAGACCCATGTACAATCGTGGTGGCCGTCGTATTGGAGGTCGAGATTCAGGGAGACCTCATGGCAAAGGACGTAGCAATGGTCAAAGGAGGTGTACACATTGTGGTATGGAAGGACATACTATCAATTTTTTCTATGATCTATATGGCCCACCTTCAACCTGGGCAAATCATGCAGTGGCTACTGGTGGTGGTTCGAGATAGGAAACTCAATAAACTGATCAGATACGCWCTACTTCTGCATATTCCTTTGGGAAAGAGATGATGAGTGTCCCACATGATGAGTATGAACGGTTCATTCAGGCTACCTCTTAGTAGAACACGACTACCCTTGCTCACTCAGGTATGGCTTGTCTGTCATCCAAACCATCCTATTGAATTATCGATTTTGGAGCTTCCGATCATGTGATTGGGACTCTAGGTGTGTTTTCCTCCCTTTCTCAGTCCTCAACATCACACTTTGTTACTCTTGCTAATGGCTCCACATCTTCCATATGTGGTGTTGGTAATGTTGGCATAGATTCATTATCCCTGTCCTCAGTTTTATATGTTCCCAAGTTTTCCTTTAAACTTATGTCTGTTAGTAAATTAACTAAGTGTCTAAATTTGCTCTATCATTTTTTACCCTTCTTGTGTTCTTTAGGATCTCAAGACGGGGATAAAGATTGGTGGAGGGCATGAAGCCGGTGAACTGTATTACCTTGGTGGAGGTTGTTCGACAACAGCCCTTCAGACATCTTTTTCTCCTCTTTAGTGGTACTGCAGATTTGGTCATCCATCCCTGGAAGCACTTTAGTTACTTGTTCCGTCRTTGAGTCATCTTTCTACTTTGGATTGTGATTCATGTCAGATTGGGAAACATCATCGTGTTTCCTTTAGTCCTAGGGTTGATAGTCGTATGTTGAGTCMTTTTTCTTTAGTCCATTCGGACATTTGGGGTCCCAATAGAGTAGTGCCATATAATGGTTACAAGTACTTTGTAATTTTTGTTAATGACTATTCAAGGATGACATGACTTTACCTTATAAAAGAAAGGAGTGAATTGTTTTCCATTTTCCAAAAATTGTATGCTGAGATTCGCAATCAATTTGGTGTTCACATTAAGATTTTGTGTTCTGATAATGGTCGAGAGTATTTTTTACACACCATTTCAGGAATATTTGGAACAACATGGCATTATCCACCAAACCCCATGTACCTATATGAGGGTGGTTAAGAGAAAGAACCGCCATCTTTTGGAAACTACTCGGTCCGTTTTGCACCATATGAATGTACCCAAACCCTTTTGGAGTGATGTTGTGCTTACATCTTGTTTCCATATTAATCGCATGCCCATGTCTTTCCTTGAAAGTCATTCTCCATTTTCTGTTTTGTTTCCTACTTCATCTTATTTTTCTCTTACCTCCAAGGTTTTTGGGTGTGTGTGTTTTGTCCATAATCTTGGGCCTAGGATTGACAAATTAGAACCTCGATCCACTAAGTGTATCTTCCTTATCTATTCCAGGACTCAGAAAGGATATAAGTGTTATAACCCCGGTTCTTGACGTTATTTTGTGTGTCCTGATGTTATGTTCTTTGAGTTTGTTCCTTTGTCTAAAAGTGATCATGCAAAAAAGTCTTTAACCTATCAATCCCCAACCTGTCAYTGCCAGTGATAACAATATCATCTACATATACCACCAATAAAATCTTCCCAGACTCATAGCTGAATACTAAATGGTCGACCTGACATTGTTTCATGCCAAATTTCTTCACCACTTCACTGAATCTGCCAAACCATGCACGGGGAGACTATTTAAATCCATAAATAGCCTTCTTAAGTCTACACACCTTACCATTCTCCCCCTAAGCAACAAACCCTAGTGGTTGTTCCATATACACCTCCTCAAGGAGATCACCATGTAAAAAGGCATTMTTGATGTCAAGCTGAAACAAACTCCAATCATACATAGCAGCAAGGTTAATCAAAACACGAATTGAACCAATCTTGGCAACTGGGGAGAAGGTGTCTGTGTAATCTACACCACACATCTGTGAATAACCTTTGGCAACCAACCGAACTTTAAACCGCTCAACACTCCCATTAGGTAGATACTTAACAGTGTATACTCATTTCCATCCTACAACATGCTTACCAAGCAGAAGAGTGGTGAAATCCCACTTATGATTACGAGCTAGGGCCAAGAGTTCTTCCTCCATTGCTTGGCGCCACCCTGGAGAAGTAAGGGCTTCCTAGACATCCTTGGGAACAAAAATAGATGACAACATTGAAACTAACTATATGGGAAGCAGAAAGGTGAGATATAGAAACATAATTTGAAATGGGATGAAGGGTGCAACTGTGTTTATCTTTCCACAAGGCAATTGGGAGATCAAGGTCAGAAACAGGGGTGGGGCTGGGGCGGTAACAAATGCCAGATCCATCGATGGTGATGAAGCTAGAGGAGGAGCCAGTACATGACGATGCATATACACTTGCTGGATGGGTGGTCGTTCAATAGGAAGCTGCATTGGACACAAAGACTCAATCACAGCTGGAACAAGAGGAATGGGGTCCTCAATGGGGACTAGAAGTGAAGGTGGAGGAAGAGTGGAATACATATGTAACAAGCTGGGACTATATGACATATACTCACCAACTTGAGGGGGAGTGTTAGAGTCGGCTGTAGAGGGGTAGTAGAGCCAATTTACATTGTGTTATATGCTTGATGTAGTTACAAGTAGATCCTAAGTTAAGTGATGTGTCCCACACTTAGAACCAGACCTTATTTTCTCTCCTCTTCTCTTCTCTTCTCTTTCTTCTACACTTTCACTATTATTTCTTTTCCTTTATTATTTCGAACCTAAAGGCTACACAGATCTGAACTTTATCAATATCTTTGTCACCTCCTACATCCAAATTGTTACTTTAGCTGATGGCTCCTCTTCCACTATTATTTGTAATAGTAATGTGTTTCTTAGTTTTGACCATAGTTTATGCTTTATAATTTATGTTCCCAAGTTTCCCTTTAGTCTCTTGCCTGTAAGTAAGCTTACTCAAGCCCTTCATTGTTCAATAACCTTTTTATCCTTCATATTGCGTCTTTCAGGATCTCAAGATGGGGAAGACAATTGCTGGTGGTCATAAAGTTGGAGGATTGTACTACCTAGATGACCATGGTCCTTAGAAGACTCTTAATTCCTCTCTTACACAACATCAGTGTCATTGTCGTTTTCGTCATCCTTCTTTGTGTGTTTTAAAAAACCATGTCCCTACTTTAGAGTCTATAACTCAGTTGAATTGTGAGTCATGTCAATTAAGCAAACATCCTAGAGTGTCTTTTATTCCCAAAGAAGATAAGAGAGTCCTAAGTCCATTCAGATGTTTGGGGTCCTAGTCGTTTGTCATCTTATAATGGATCTATATAATTTATAACGTTTATTGATGACTATTTAAGAATGACGTGGCTTAGTGTAGGATTGCTGAAAATTGTTCTCTATTTTTCTATCTTTTCATGTTGAGATAAGAAATCAGTTTGTTGTATGCATTGAAGTGTTTCATTTTGATAATGCCAAAGTATATTTACATAATAGTTTTTAGTCTTATTTTTAACTCTCACGGTAGAAATCTATGGTTGTTAATCTCCTATTTATTGCTTGTCTGTGCTAATATTATGTTTTAAATGTTGCAAAATCAATCCTTGATTGTGCATTTCTCTTATGGGTTTAATTTAATTGGTTGGCTGCAGATATGACAAATCAACTAAGAAGAGTACTCTAAATGGATATTTTCTTTGGGTGATGATTGGATATGGAACTGGTGAGCCTCATATATGTCTTATTCTATTTATTTTTTCCCCTTGTCATGTCTATGGAAAGTTTCTTTTCAACCCTTTTAATTTAGCATACGGAACAGAAGTTGTCATTCCAGCAAAGATCGGCTAGCATGCTATGGGCATACAGTAGGACAACACCTTGGACAGCCATCGGAGAAACCCCTTTTAATTTAACATACAGAACAGAATCCATCATTCCATCAAAGTTCTTTTCTACTCTCATAAGAAAAAAAAAAGTGGGAGTAGTTAACTCCACATACTACTCGTTTCAGACACACTTTAGACACAAGGCTGCATATCAAAAAAAATTATCCACTTTAAAAGGTAGATAATTAATATAAATAATATATTTTCATTTAAAAATATTAATTTTAAGTTAATTTCATTTGAGAATAAATATTATTTACTTAACTGAACAATAGAAGTACTAAAATTTGAAAATTCCATTTAAAAATAAATACTATTTATTAGTACACATAAACATTATAATTTAAACTCCGCTTAATATGTTTCTATTCAATTATATTTATTAATAAAAACTGAAATTCCATTTAATAAAAATTTATAATGATTATAGGATCTCCTATTTAGTTATATTTTCAACCATGAGGTTAGAATGATTATGCTTGTATGAACTATTTCATTATGTACAATTATGGTAGAAAAGTCTTTAGTTTAATCTGTTAGCTGCCTRYATCATGATGTACGATTTGTAGTAGGATGAGTTTTATTTGAATATTGTAAATATCTTTACCAAATCATGGCGTGTGCTAATTTTAATACAATTAACATGGTACTGATTGCTGGTTTATCATGGCATTTAACAGATGCACATAACATGCATGATATTTTTATCACTCTGAAGTGGATTATACCAGTTAGTGTTCATGTGAATCCATGGAGGAAGTTGCTAAAACATGTTATTATAAGTTCCAACTAATTCTGAGAGAATCTTGTATGTTTATCTACCTTATAGTTCCTTTCCTATGTCCATCGTCCATCTTTCGCTACCAACTAATGTTTATATTTGGTACTTTCTTATCCTGCTATATTATTACATGCACATACCAGGAGTCTTATATCTGACTATATACTTTTTTTTGTTTCCACTTTCCAGGCCTTTTTCTTACATACCTTGGCTTGTATCTAATGGATGGGCACGGTCAACCGGCCCTTCTATACCTTGTTCCATGTACACTAGGTAGTGAAATGATGCCTTTCCAGGCAAATTTTGCATCCCTTTCTCTGTTGCTCAAGGCACTCTTTCTGATTAACATTTCCATCATTTTCATTCAGGGCTTACTGTTGTCTTGGGTMTGTTGAGAGGTGAGCTGAAATCTCTGTGGAGCTATGGAACTGATGAATCTCCTACCAGTGGACCTTCTTCAACCAGTGGATCTGCTGGACAAGCCTGAAGCAGGTTTGCTGTTTCTCCAAAGAAAGATAATGGCCAAACCCCTTGGATCTCCTGGGAATTGCCAACATAGTAGATGCTGGGTTAGGGGACGCCCATTCTCTGTTGCCTATCCGACAAGAATCAGATCCCTTCGTAGAGTTCATATTTCATGGATGAACTGAAGTATGTAGTTTCGCTTGAACACCTAGATATGGATGTTAGCTGTTTGTAACTAATTAATGTGTTCTGTTCCAGTACCCAAATGCTAAATGCAGAAACCACAAAAAGACCATAGAACAAACTTTTCTCTTTCTTTACCTGTTTTGCAATGTTTCCTACTTGGCCAAGAACTTCTTAGCTCTTTGAAGAGAGCAAGGCCAATGCCATCATACTTTAAGATTTGTATTTCAGACAAGTGGCTATCTATCTTTCCAGCAAAGAGTATCTAGAAAGCTCTTTTCTACTCTCATAAGAAAAAAAAGTGGGAGTAGTTAACTCGACGTACTACTCATTTCAGACACACTTTAGACACGTGACTGCATATCAAAAAATTTTCCATTTTAAAAGGTAGATAATTAAGATAAATAATCTATTTTCATTTAAAAATATCAATTTTAAATTAATTTCATTTGAGCATAAATATTATTTACTTAACCGAACAATAGAAGTACTAAAATTTGAAAATTCCATTTAAATATAATTATAACCCATTTAAATTCCATTTAAAAACAAATACTATTTATTAGTACACAGAAATTATAAAAATTTATAATTATTAGTCAACAATTGATAACAACAACAATAATTGAAACAAATTTAAATAACTAGAACTGATGAAAATAAACTATTAATAACAATAAGTAATTCATAAGTTAAAAATTACAATCCATTCAAATTCAATTAAATTTTAACTAATATTAAAATAAAGCTATAATTAATTTATAAAAATAAAAAGTTACTTAAATTAAAATACATTTATATTCCATTTAAAAATAATATAAATTAACTAAACATAGTAAAAATAATTTCAGAAATTTTGTAAATATAATAAAAATCATTATTAACTGTTTGAATACCATCTCTGTWTGTGTTAAGGATGAAGCTTCTGTGCCTTGGATCTTTTGGAATGTGTTGGACAAAAATAAAACTTTCTCGTGGGGTCTTTGATAAAGCTGTTTCTCTTTTGTCCGTAGGGATAGGAACAGGGCTGCTCATGAAGTAGCCGAATGGACTATAAAAACTGTGTTTTTGTTTTGTTTTTTCTGTCCTTTTTTTTCTGAATGGTTGGGCTGTACACCAAACTGTTTGGATCAGTCTGTATATACTTCTAATTCTGGATAATGAATATTTCTTTTATCTATAAAAAAAAATAAAGTTTATGATGAGCAAAAGGAGGTTTTAAAGTAATATTTCCATTGAGAGTTAATGGAAGACATGCGTTTGCATATTTCCGRATTTCCTGCATTCGCTTTGGTGTGGCACATTGTGCACTTCTAATCAGATTCAACCACATCATACTCCACATGGTCCCCTATCTTACATGTGTGGATTAAATTAAACGGCAAGTTAGGGGCGTTATGTCTCTAAAGTTCTTTTTTTTTATCTTAAAAGAAAAGAAAAAACTTGTTGCTGATGTGCTAGGAAGGTTGATTCACATAGCAGACTCTAGGGGCCTCATTAGAGAATGGATGGTTGGTAAGGAGGACATCTCACTCACTCACTTGCAGTTTGCTGATGATACAATGTTGTTTTGTGAATGAGGTAATGTGAGGTTCATTAGGAATTTGAAATTAGTGATTCAACTTTTTGAGCAAATGTCAAACCTGAAAGTGAACTTCGAGAAGAGTTGTGTGAAGGGAAGGGAGATCCATCATATGGATGGCCAGACCATGTAGGGTAGCTGGGCGAAATTTCAAAAATTTGTTTTCTCCCTTCCARGAATCATATTCCCTGATTTAGAAAAACTATATTTTTCAATGATCGTTCTTGAAATAAACCGGACCAAATCTAAACCCAAGATTAAGGGAGGGATATACCTGATATGGAATCAACGGTAGTTCCCAACGTAGGTGTTTACGCCCAAAGAGTTCACCAAATTCATCATCCACTGAAGATGACACAGCTTAGGGTGAGGTAGGATCAGCAAAAAAAAATCTTCAGCAAGAACCCCAATTCTTCAACAATAATCATATAGGGATGTGAGCACAAGTTCAAGATTGTTTCTTCTAGCAAGAAACAATATCAAAATCCAATCTTGATCACTTCCAAGAACTGGAGATCGAACAGAACAGGGGCGGCAAGAGTAGAGAGAAAAATGCAGAAGAAAAATTCACCTACTGTGGAATTCGCCCCCTTATTTATAACCCTTTTAGGGTCAACTTCCTAATCCAATTAAGAAGGAGTTTCTTGATCCAAATTTGTATTTAGATCTGGACTCTTAAGTGGATAAGACTTATCTTATCCTATTGTTGATCCTAATCAGATTACAAACCAGATTCGCCCCTTTTTAATTAATCCAATTAAACCTAGTTTGAAATGAGCTTTAGACCCATTAAGTCTTCAGGTTCACTTCCCTTTTAATTGCTAGATAGCTTGGTTTTCTTTGTATGGCGTGGGACCCTAACATTGATCTCCACAAAAGCCATATGGGTTCAGCCTAGCCTCTGTTACAAGGCCTGACCGAATTCACTGCTGAAGACAGTAAACCCCTAAGCCCATCAGTATGGGCTCTTAGCAAGCCCAACATTTACACTAAATGGTCCCTAGGTCCAGTTACCTTATGAAGGCCTAGGGACTATGGACTTAAGTAAAATTAGCCCATCAGGTAAAAGCCCTAAATGGTCTTACACTTAATCTCTCAGCCCATAATGATCAAACACTGCTCGACAAGAGAAGACCTCCCCCTCGATTACAAGGTACAATGTTGCACTCTCTGCTCACATGGATCACAGGAATTAAAACATTTTACAAACATCTTGTGAAACCATAATATATATGTATATCTCTATATAAATATATTTTGCAAAACAAATCTCAACAAGTTTGAAATCAACTGTCGACAGTTTAGGTTTCCATCAGAGAGAGTGCATTCCCCGATCATTCACTTTGTCCACCAAAGGGGTTGATTCTATCACTACGATCACTCACTCAGGTGAATTCTTAGACTGTTCCAACATACCCAAGTTTTGACCCCCGCTAAAAATCTCATTGATTGGCATATCAAAGACAACCCAATCCAACACCTAGTGCAGTACCATAATCGAGTCTAGGGGTTAGGTGTAACTTTCCAATTTTGTCCGTCTGTCTCCAAGGTTCAGTGCATAACTAGAAAATGGTCTGGTTCAGGATTTCAAGCAAACTCACACTACATGTGCTACAGGTTTCACCCTAGTAGCTGAGACAAGCCACCCCAACCGACTTGGCAG